GATCTCACTCATTTATGGAATATAATGAACAATATAAACTGATGAACAAAAACAGATCCAGAGACAGAGAAGCATCGATCAGACTGTCAAACCTCAGAGGGAAGGTAGGGGAGGGTGGGGGTAAGGGGGAGAGATCAACCAAAGGACTTGTATGCATGCATATACTAGTAAGCATAACCAATGGACACAGACACCAAGGGGGTGAGGGTATGAGTGGGGGTTGGGTGCAGGGGGCAATGGGGGGGGGATAAGGACACATATGTAATACCTTAATCAATAAAAAACAAAACAAAACACACCACATGTGGGTGTGGGACCAGCCCATTCCATGCCTCTGCCACTCCTATCAGTCTCAACGTGCATTCTTCTTGAATTCTCTAGTTGGACAACTTCCATTCAGCCAGATTTCAGGCAGTTATGAATGATGGTTATTCTGTATTTTAGTTTTAATATTGATGTGCTTGCTGGCGGAGGTGAGTGCCATTGTTTACCTGTGCCACCATCTTGGTTCCTCTGTCACAATATACTAGTATCTCTTGACAATCAGAAAATAATTCAGGAGCTCAGGGCTCAATAAACCTAAGTCAAGTACAGTGTGTTGTTTGATTTAGGTAGATAATTATTTTAGGCTTTTAAAACAAAGTAATGTGGCTGGGATACACATTTTTTGAAGGGGTCACCAATCTTGTGACATTCCAGTGAGAGATATAAACCAACTTTTGTGGCGAGCTGGCATGGCCATGGCATACTCAGCCCCACATTGGGCACCTTATGTGCTGCGCCAGCTCAGTCAGGTTCAGTGACCCTGAGACTGTCCTCTCTGATGGAGAGCTAGCGACAGCACCACAGACTACAAGCCATGTCTTTATAGACAGATTCCACGAGGCAAAGTAAGGGCGTGGTCAAGATGTTTACAGCATTCTCATGGGTTTCGATCCTACTCAATTACATGCACCTGAACTCTATCAAGCCCACATCCCTCAGGCACGTGGGTCCACGTGTTCGGACCATAGGTTCAAGCTTACAACTATAGCTGTTGGCTATAATTGTGCTGGAAGGGCTCTGCCCTCCAGGCTGGGACTTGCATGTGGCCATGAGAGGACTGTGCACTCTCATTAGTCCGAAGCTTGAACCTGTCCAAACACTGTAGCTGCTCTCCACAAACTTTGTCTTTGCCCAGAAGAGTGAATGTAAGCAAAAATAACAGAAGTTTGCACACCTTTTCACAGCATTTTGAACTTGATGCATAAGCTGTAAACACCCATCCTTAACTCACCAACCAGGGTCTCTACTCAGGAGAGTTCTTTGTCCAGCGCCTTCCTTTAGAAGCATAGTCTATTAATATGGACAAGGTCAAGATTTCTGTTTCTATAAGCTGTAAACACCCATCCTTAACTCACCAACCAGGGGTCTCTACTCAGGAGAGTTCTTTGTCCAGCACCTTCCTTTAGAAGCATAGTCTATTAATATGGACAAGATCAAGATTTCTGTTTCTGTCCAGCTCCCCCATGAGTATGGGTATCAATGTCCACCTAACCGTTTTGATCACATGGAGAAACTTGTGAATGTATTTTGGGTTCTGGACAGTTCACATGCATTGCAGGGAAGGGAGCTCAGAAGTATTTGCTTAACCCTGCTGGGAGTGAATGTCACCGTTTTTATATCTAAAGGAAAATATGTAATTGGGGTTCTAACCAAATATTCATTCTTTTTCATTGAAGCTGTTTCCCCTGCCTCTCCTCTACGTTGGGAACCACATCAGTGGATTATCAAGCACCAGCAAGTTAAGGTAGAGTGCAGGGCAATGGTTGATGGGAGGTTCTTCGCTTGTTTGCTTCTAATGGTGCAAAGACCAAGTTTGATTTGTTAAGATATTGCTTGTGCTACATAATATTATTTAATAATTGCAGAAAATAAGGTGGAGTTTTGAGTTTAATTTCTTAATGCTTTTATAAATGTTCAAAAGCTCATATTTTGTTTGTTTGTTTATGTTCAAGTCTTTATCAAGCACCAGCAAGTTAAGGTAGAGTGCAGGGCAGTGGTTGATGGGAGGTAATGGTGCAAAGACCAAGTTTGATTTGTTAAGTTATTGCTTGTGCTACATAATATTATTTAATAACTGCAGAAAATAAGGTGGAGTTTTGAGTTTAATTTGCTAATGCTTTTATAAATGTTCAAAAGCTGATTTTTTTTTTGGTTTATGTTCAAGTCTGAACATAGAAAGTGAGATCTCTAGAATCAAGATAAGAGGGGTGACTTATTCAGGAAGAACCATTTCTGTGTAACGTGCCCGCAACCAAGGTACATGCCCTTGACCGGAATCGAACCTGGGACCCTTGAGTCCACAGGCCGACGCTCTATCCACTGAGCCAAACCGGTTAGGGCAATATCTTTTTTTTGTTTTTAATTAAATTTGTTGGGGTAACATTGATTAATAGCATGATATAAATTTTGGGTGTACAACTTTATAATACAACATCCATATACTGTGTTGTGTGCTTACTACCTGACTTCTAGTCTCCTTTTGTTACCATATACAGGGTGGGGCAAAAGTAGGTTTACAGTTTTTCATATGGAAAATAATACATTTGTGCAAAGGGTGAAAAAAATGGAGGAAAATGCCCAGCCGGTGTGGCTCAGTGGTTGAGCATCAGCTCATGAACCAAGAAGTCGCTGGTTTGATTCCCTGGTCAGGCACCTGCCTGGGTTGCAGGCTCGATCCCTAGTAGGGGGCGTGTAGGAGGTAGCCAATCGATGATGTTTCTCTCTCATTAACGTTTCTATCTCTCTGTCACTCTCCCTTTCTCTCTCTTTACAAACTCAATAAAAACATATTTAAAAATGGAGGAAAACCTGCCTGTATAGTAAGAGGAAACGAGGCAGATGGGAGGTAGATCAGAAGGAAAAGGACATATAAAACGAAGAATTGTGAAATTAGAACTGTTACCTTTCACTCTTGTTTGAAAAGGACAGGTGTGGTCATGAAAAAAAAAAAGTGCCCTGGCCGGCATGGTTCAGTGGTTAGAGCACTGGCCTCCATCAAAGGGTGGAGGGTTTGATTCCTGGTCAAGGGCATGTACCTGGGTTGCAGGTTTGATCCCCAGTCCCTGGGCAGGGCATGTTTGGGAGATAACCAATCGACGTGTCTCTTTCACATGATTTTTCTCTCTCTCCCCTCTCTCTCCCTCATACCCCCTCCTTTCCACTCTCTCTGAAAAATTAATGGGAAAAATATCCTTAGGTAAGGTTTAAAAACAAAAAAACAAAAAATAAAGCATGAAATACTGTTTTCAGATATACATTTTATTATTTTATTTTTTAAAAATATATTTGTATTGATTTCTGAGAGGAAGGGAGAAGGAGAGAGAGTTAGAAATATCACTGATGAGAGAGAATCACTGATGGGCTGCCTCCTGCACACCCCACACTGGGATCGAGCCCACAGCCCAGGCGTGTGCCCTGATCGGGAATGGAACCATGACCCTCCTGGTTCATAGGTTGACACTCAACCACTGAGCTACGGTGGCAGGGCTTCAATTATACATTTTAGTTGGTTTGTTGTTTCCTTCTGGGATCAGGGCAATCATTTTTCCTTAATTGTCTCAAATTTGTTTTAGAGCTCCCTATGGTGGGTGTTTTTGCTGTCTTAACATGTATCCTCTTGGGCTTCCTCTGAGTTTACCTTCAGCTCTGGGGGAGCCCTCAGCTAACTGACAACTGCCACCTCTCACATTCGGGGGCTCTGCCTCCCAGATGAGGGCTTCTTTTTTTAGTGATCCTAGTGGAAACATCTTTTTTTTAAAAAATATATATTTTATTGATTTTTTACAGAGAGGAAGGGAGAGGGATAGAGAGT